TCTCTCTCTCTCTCTCTCTCTCATCGCGACAGCACACAATCGCATGAAATAAATAAAGACTCCAACTGTCTGCCGAACGCTACACTACCGGTCATCGCCGCTTTCAGGATCAGTAGACGGACTATGTGTCGGTGGACACAAGCTGCGAATGGCATCCGCAAGAACGTAATAGCCGTTCTCTACCTTGTCCCCCATGATGGTAGCAATCCTCTCGCGTGAAGCTATGTCCTGCTGTAGTAGCTCACGATTAGCGTCAGCCTGCTGCTTAGCGATGTCACGAGTTGCTTGACAGCGCATCTTCGCGCACTCCATGTCCGATCGAGTCAGCGCAGTCGTGTGAGCACGCATAGCAGCTGTCACAGCCTGCACACTGGATTCGCGTGCATTGGCGGCACCTCTTTTTCGTTTGCCGAGCGCCGGCTCGAAACCTGTCGACTGTGAGCCTCCGGGCGAACCGCCATACCCGGATCCGTTGTCTTCGCTCCCACCTTCCATGGCCCCGTCCCTGTCGCTGACCCCCTCTCCGTTTTCAACACGCTCGTCGTCCGCCCCAGAATCCATCAGATTCGTCAGGTTAATAGAGTCCTTGTCCTTCTCCACCGGGTGTATGATGTCGTACCAACTGCGACGAAGTACGAAGTCCACGTTGTACTTCTTCCGCCTCGTTTGGTTCATATCCCAGTAGCTCGGCAGACCGGACCAGCCCTCGTGCGCCCTCAACCTCCTGTAGTAGTCGAGGATCTGGTTGAACTTGTTCTTGCACTGCTCGTGGTCACGGTTGTAACCCTTCGCACGCATGCGCTCTTCCACTATCTTCCAAAAACCAGCTTTTAGCCTCGCACGCCCGTACGCCTTAGTCTCTTGGCCCATCAACTCCTTCACTTCGTTACGGAACCGGCACAACCACTCAGTTTCGGTCTCCCCCCACCGGTCCGTGCTCTTCTCCCCCGAAGACGGCCTTCGACGCAGGCTCCGGGACGGCCCGCCCGCACGTGTCCCTGACGGGACTGATACGGAAGGCGGTGTGTGAGATGACACATTGCCGTTGATCGGGGACGGGATGGCCGCAGGTGGGCTTGGAGAAGATCCAGACCTCGGTGCTGTGTCATGCGTTCCGGACTCCCTGACGACTGGGGACAGAGTGGCCGCGGGTACACTGCCAGGAGTGTGCAATGGGGAAGGTGTGTGCGAGGGGCTTGTGTGCAATGAAACAGCCTCACCTCCGACATTCACATAATCGGACTCCGGTGTACGCACACCAGCCTCAATGTCCCGGATGATTCGGTTCAGGACGTACTCAGATGACGCGGCAGGCGGACACTGCTGCTGCATGACAGCACCATCACACGACGACTCCGGTGACACGCGGTGAGTCGTTTGGGTAATGGGTGAGATCGTAGCTGCACTGCCTGACTCATGCTGCTGGGAAGGCATCGTGTCAGAGTTCATAGACGGTGTGAGCCCTTTGGCCATAGCCATTGCACGCATTCTCAGACGCTGACGGAGACTGTGCTCATCCTCTCCGCACACACCGATTCTGAATTTCAGAACAGGCGTCACCGGTGACAACAAGATGGGACCGTGGGTCACAACGTCGGAGTGCGGTGCATCGGTCACACAGTCGGTGACCATCGGCGACTGGGGGCCACAGACGGGCCCGGGGTGCATGCTGGCCCGGACCCTGCATGTGGTGGGCCATCATACTGGGACTCAGACCACCCCCAGTCGCCGATACAAGACAGACCATCGTGCTGGGTGTGGCGGGCCATGGACAATGGACGTGTCCGAGGTGTCGTTTTCCCTGCGCAGTACTTGAACGGAGAACAGTGACGAAGTGCAAAGGCGTGCAATGGAGAGAAACGAAAAGGAGGTGATAACCATATCCCGGCACGGTACGGAGAAGCATTTCCCGCCCCGATGTGAATGTCTTGCGGATTCGGGCAGATTCGCGTGAATGCGTGTAATTGCCACGCGACCCCGACATGTGCAATGCCATGGATTTGGCTCGCACCCGTGTCCGTGTACACAGCCGCACGCAAGCACGGGTACCCGGCCGTTTCCACATGACGACTTTCCCTTTTCGGAAAGCCTAGATGCTGGTCGTCATATGACGCCTCACGACCGGGTCGGGGGGAGGGGGGTGCATGTGTCCCAGAAAGACGACCAAGGACGGACGACACCCACGTATTTGGACGCAATACCACATATCATTAACTATACTTGGACACGCGCAACCTCACACCAAACACGCCGTTCCCCACGGGCCTCTGAACTGTCAATGTTCGGAGCAATTATATTTTGTCCACCTTAAGACTCCCGATTCTCAATTTCGGAACGCTGAAATGCGTTGGCGCGAAGCTTCAAAAACACCCCATACAAAAAAAAAACATAGAATTGAAGCTTCGCGCCAACACAAAGTGGACAACTAAATGGCCAACAAACGATTTATAAAAAATCCTATTGGCTGCTCTTCAACTACCTTGCCGAAAACACACACAATCGCCGTGGACAGTCGATACGGACCACAATCAACGGCCCCGATTTGTCACGGATGGCTGCACGTAATCGAAAACGCCAGACCCGAAGGGTAAAACGGTGCATGTCGGTCCAGGCCCCAGGGCTGTCGGGCCATAATTTTCATTTTTTTCAAGCGCGTTCTTTATTTTCATACGTATTTTTTTGTTTGTGCAGCAACAGTCTTTGACCAGCCCCCCGAAGGCGGCCCTAACTCCCGGAAAGCCGAGTTTTGGCAGGCGGGGGTGGTGGTGGTTTCAGATCGATGATGATTTAAAGTCCAACAAGAATGAAATGTAAATAGCTTTGAATAATAGAATTAAGATAAATAATAATTAGTAAGTAGGCGTTTAAACCGCCAGTACCTTTCCCATATGCCGGCCGCGGGCCCTACGCGCCAAGCATTTGGGATGTATCTGGTCGGCGCGCGTACCCGGGGTTGGCCTCCGTGTTAACCGGAGGGCAATTTTTTTTTTTGCCTGGGCAAGGTACTGGCGGCTTAGTGTTTAGGTATTTGAACAAAAACCGCAAGGAAAAGTTAAATTAGGAAAACAGAAGGAACTGAGGATTATGTAGATTAGGGATTTTTTAAGTTAACAACAGTTACTATGAGGCTGAACTTATCAATAGGAGGGGGAATGCTTTTTACCCATGTGCCCTAAATACACAGCCTCATCAGACATGAAGTATAGTGGATAAGAAAGGCAACCATGCAACTCATTTTGTATGCACGAAGGGACGAAGGACCCAGTTTCCGGCAGGTGCTGCTCTGTGATGCCCAAACTCACGCCCAACGCAACTTCCTGATCGGAATGGGAGCGGGCCCGGAAGTCCAAAAATGAGGGTGTGCCAATGATTTTAGGAAAATGCGGTGGAGTCCTAGGTCGGAACTGGTATCTCTTGTGTCAAGGTTCCAAGTACCAAAATGCAAAGAGGTTCAAAAGGAAAGGAGACTTTCTCAGCTCGCGGCTTCCATGGGGCCGGGTACTCAGGACGACTAGGTTCGGTGTTTAAGGTGGGTTCGTATGCGGTTAAATGGTGATAAGAGAGAATAAAATCGTGGGGAGGGAACTCAACTTCTACAACGATGAACCCGGACTCAGCGAAAACCTGAAACGTGTGCGTGTTGGGGTATTACCAGATCTGGAGGCTGCGGCCTATGGCTTGCTGTATATCCCACGCACATACACACTCATCTTCCATCTGCTGCAGGAAGTTGGGGAGCCCCAATCGCAATTGATGAGAGAAAATATTCGCTTCCCCGATATTCTAGGTACTCGCGGTCCCTTAAGCAATCACGATTTGTTACTCAGAAAGCGACAATGAATTCCAAGCTACAAATTCACCTTAATGCAATCATCTTCCGACCCATGCAAAAGTATACCCATCACACAGCCCAGGCGTGGGTGCCTTGCGTACACAGGACGGGCCGTTTTATTGGCGGACTGAAACGTATACACGTGGTCCAAGATCCGTTCGTAATGCAACTCGAGGCGGTCAACTTCTCTGTTTCCCTTCAACTCTTATGGGCTAAGGCTAGGCGTGCACCCGAGTTCCCCAATCATTTCATCTCCAAACATAAACGGGGATTCTGCATGCAAAAATTGGACGATCCAACCGCAATCATCACTCGTGACATCATCTATAAAAGAAAGAAATACGAGAGAACTCCGAAGAAAGGATTAAGTCATACAATCGTAAAAAAAATTGAAAATCACAAAGCCAATAGGGCATATGCCCATAGGACAACAAATCCATTGTCACGTCCCTTCAAACAAAACGAACGTCGTTTTCGACCTATCCTCCCCCTTCACCAGGATATGGGGGAAGTCGTGACGAATATCAAACTTGCTAAAATAGTTGCCACATCTAATCGCATCCAACAAATCACCAATCCTGGGTAAAGGATACACATCCTTGATCATGATATCGTTCAAGTTCCAATAATCAATGCAAATGCAGATCGATCCGTTCTTTTTCGAGACTAATACTACCGGGAAGGAGCAGGGACCCGTGAGGGGTTCGATCTAGCTATTTGCTTCAAACTTCTTAATCCGCTACAACACCGTTTTTCTTTCGGCGAGGGAATATTGGTAAGGTTTGTAGTGAATGGGCAGATGATTTCCCGTTTGTATGTCATGTTGAATTACCAGAGACAACCCAACATCGACATCGCTGACACTAATCGTCCCTTGGTACCCCCCACAAATATTGGTAATCATCTGCTGAATGCCGTTTGGTACATACTCTAGCACGGGTAATGCGTAGGGTTGTTCGTTGATCACGACTTTCATCTGCTTCGTGCGAACTGGTGACACACTTTGGGGAGGGGGAAATGAAATGAACAAATTGTCCGATTTCCTAGCACGGGTAATGCGTAGGGTTGTTCGTTGATCATGACTTTCATCTGCTTCATGCGAACTGGTGGCGCAGTTTGGGGCGGGGGAAATGAAATGAACGAATTATCCGATTTCCAGGAGAACACATTGAAAATCATTTAAGTGTCATCTTTTGTGATCGCCACGTGTTCCTCAGGGGTAATCCCATCTTCTTCGTCCCGAGGGTCCACCACTTTTTCGGCGATTTTAATCCCGATTTCAAACGGGGAGGTGTCAAACCGCTCAGGGGGTTTCAAAGTTTGTGCTTCGGCGCCTCAATGAAGTATGCGCATTTCCCCCCCTGTTGTGAGTAGTGAGTGGGGCGGCAGTTCCATGACGTCACAGAAGGACTTTTTGTCCAGATAGCGAGGCAGCAAGAGACAAGTAGCATCGTATAAAGTTCGAGAGGGTTCCAAAGAATCTGACAACTTTGAAATTTGCATGAGTGGCTACCCCAGAATTAACGTACGTGCACGTTGAAGCCTTTTTGGCATCACATTGGTTTCCGTTAACACAAACGTCTTAGTTGTCTTTTGGCGGATCGGGTAACGCAGTATCCTGCACGTCAGCTCATAAACGGCCTTAGCTATGCCAGGATCTTCTTCACTTTTAGAATCAGTGTGAAGCAAGGCAGCAAATCCATCGTCTCCATCCTCCTCTTGGTCGGATTCGTCCGTTAACTCATCCCACAAGATCGTCCGAATGCATTCCGCGGGAGTATCTCGGGGTTTATTGGAGACCACCCGGAGGGTGAGGCGCATTGGAACGTTCTATAGTTTCCCTCCTATGTTTTTAAGGACCACTATCCGTCGTTCGAAATGCAGACTAGCTTGCAACGCATTGAGGGAAGGCAATCCAATAAGCACGTCGTAAGAGGTCACGTTGAGGACTATCACATCCCCAAGGGGGTGAACTTTCCCTATCCGGAAGGCGACGTTCGTCATCCGTCCTGCTGCCCTGATTCTTCCTTCGTCAGCCAAAATGAGGTGGTCACCCTCGGGGATTGGGATTAGATCTTTCTTCCTCCCCGCCCGTTCCACCAGTTGACGCGATATGGCCAGCACAACCGCTCCAGGTTTAAATTCAGTGCTCCCTCTCCCGACCTCTGTTTGCCACTTCTGTGTTTCTCCTCCGGTCTCCCATCTTCTTTTTCCTAAGGTGCCCTTACCCTCTCCAGAGGATCCCACATGACAAAGGTATCGATTTCCGCCATTTCTGTTTTCGTTTTCCGGTCTTCCATCTTCTTTTTCCTAGGGTGCACAAAGGACCCCACATGACTCAGAAGAGACCCAACATACCCGGCATCCCGTAACCGGCAGAGGAGAGTCTTTCCCTATGGAATTGTGCCTTAGGGCGTACTCACACAATTTCGAGAGCAACATGCCATGAAATCCTAGTGTGAGTATACCCTAGAAAGGAGCCCCTACTTGAATCCTCTTGTAGTGTCATAAAATTTCTCTCAGTGATAGATGGCTTGAAGGTTCAGTGTCTGCAATCCTCAATCATGTGAATCTGGGTGCAGGGTGGGAGGGGGAGAGAGAGAGAGAGAGAGAGAGAGAGAGAGAGAGAGAG